TGTTTGTCTTAACAGATATTCAGTGCAGATAAACCCTGTCCATTTTGGAGAGAGATGTCAGAGATCATACAACAACCCAGAGAAGAGTATACCTGGTTTTAAATCTCCAAAGAATAGCTTCGTACACCTATTTAACATCCTAGGAATACATCCAGAGTTAAACCCCTCTTGGAGACAAATGCACTCATGGATAATTTTTCGAAACCAAATGTTCTTAAATAGAGGAAATTCTGGATTCTCACTTCTTCCTAGAAGCTTTCCCTAAGCCCTGCCTACCCTCCAGCTGAATTACTCCTTGTCTGAAATTTCACCATTTATGGCCTTGACACTTTCTACCGGTATTTGTGTTGCCCACGGCCCCTGTGTATCACTCTCACTGTGCCAGAAGATCCCGCTGATTGGGCATCTCCCACTGCACTTACTGAAATGCTTTGCACATAGTAGGCGCTCAGTATACAAAGTTTTATAGACAGATATTTTGCTAATCTGTAGCACCTGCTTAAATTCTACTGAAAATTAGCAAAGTGCAATTAACTTCAATTTTGTAGTTGGGGATTTTCAGAAAGAAAAAAAAAACCAAAAAACTACCCTCCCTCCAAGAAATGCCTGTTTAGTTAGGATGAGACATTAACATGCTTCTATTACGATAAGCATTTGAGATCCATCTTCATCTTTACACGTTGCCTAATTCCAGTTAGGTTAGTAGAAGAAAAATCTTTTCCTTAGAGCAACCCAATCCACTCCCCTCCTCTGGCCTTTTTCTTTATGTTGGTAAACTACTTCAGCCTCTGCCGTCAATTTTAACAGTTTGTGCCTGGTACCCTTCGTATTTTGGTGATTAGAGATGTTCAAAAGCCTGTTCTGACACACAGCCCTTCCTCGCTTCCGATTCCTCTACTTCTTGGGGGTGGAAGTAGTTTCTCTGAGTAGAGACGCTGGCAGGGAAAAAGAATGGGGGAAAATTGCATTTAAACTTTTAAAAGTTGAGTCACGGCTGGTTGCACAGCAGAGGCCCCGCAATGTGGAGTAAATACTAAATGTAGTTTGCGTGCCGCGGGGTTGGACTGGGGCGACTTCTGGGGACTCGGCGGGGTCGATCCCCTACCGCAGCGGAGGCCTTGGCCGTGGCCTCCCGCCGCGGCCCCGCACCTCCCGCGCCCCCGGCGGTGTTCGGGCTCCCCACCCCGGCACTGATGTCGCGCGCTTGCGTGCTGCGGCCAAAGCTCCCGACCCAGAGGC